TAAATTGCCTGACTGGAAGAAATGATAAGTACCTAATAATATAAAATTAATTATAGTGAACTTGGAAGAATGCAAGCATGGCCTGTTTAAATCTAATATACAGTGATTCGCCTAGAGAAAAAGAGGAAACGCAATACACAGCCGAGATTGGAATAGTGTACCTCCGAAACAAAAGTCTTCAGAATTACCGATATGCAGCCATCCAAGGTATGGTGCTTTTGCCGCTACTTCTACCGTCTTAATTTGTTCTGCACACGCAACTATTCCGGTTGGGTAGATGCTCTGGCGGAGAGGTATGCATAAATGCGATCGTTCGCCCCTGGTAGAATCATCCAGACATCTGTATGACGCATGGTCTGACAGAGCCTTCAAGAATAAGCAGACAACATCAGCAAAAGACAGGTTACCGGTACATGCGTAATATACAGCGCTACAATCATTTAGTTCAGGGCCGTCCAAATTCAGACCACTGAAGGGCCACTAGCTACCTTAGGTAACATCCCGCAAGTCACATTGTTTGCGTATGTATATCTTTAACATAAAAAGTAAAAAAATAAAGTAAAGCTATCCTTGTAACAGGCCGTGGAGGCCAATAGGGTTGTGAGATGTTGAGGTTCCCACATTTTCTAGACAATCGGCTCATAGATGGCTGCAAGGTTGTAAGCCCTACGCGCCGGCCACCCTTTAACCCCAAGAATATTCCAAAAATATTCCTGGTACTCATTTCTGTTAGAGGCTAAGTCGACCCCAGGGCCAGAGTACGGCTGGAAGGATCAGGTCAATCGAAAAAAATCCAATGACCTCCTCAGGATTTGAACCCGCTACTCTTCGGCTTGTAGCATAGTGCCTTAACCAACTACGCTACCGCTTGCCCCCATCTTTAGCATAACGGTACAAATATTTTGCAGTGATCAGGTGACTTATGAGCAAACACACGAACCAGAGTTAGATCCATGCAAAGAAGAAATATTTATTAGAAATAAATATTGCAGTGTCGATTGTGCTTACAAATCAGCAGCTGAAGATTTGATACTTGTATAAATTGGTATCGCGTACTATCGTAGTCATACTTTTTTTTTAATTCGCTTAGTGGGGGGTGGAGTCCAGTTGGGTCCACTTGGCACGGCGGCCACTGTTTGGCCTATTGTACCTGACCTGGGTGATTATGATGATGGAGAATTTGGTGGAATGAAGAATGGCAGGGGAAACAGAAGTTCTAGGAGAAAACCCGCCCCAGCGCCACTCTGACCACCACAAATCCCACTTGACCAGATCCGGGATCGAACCCGGGCCGCCTCGGTGGGAAACCAGCGACTAACCGTTTGAGCTATGGCGCGGCCTATAGTCAAACTTACTTCACACTTTCCTAAATTGAGCTTGTTTATTAGGTGTTGTGTTAAATCAACTGAAAAAGTACTCAGATTATTTTGTAATCACTTTTCGTAACCTTGTTTTATACGATTTGTCGCCCTTTTTTAAAAGGGAGGGAAGAGCGCTACCCAGCTGGCGAAAGTAGGCTTGCACTTGAAATTATTGTCTTGCCACCGGATGAAAACCCATTTGCAGTTAAATAATAATAATAACAATTTCGCGTGCAACCCTACTTTCGCCAGCTGGGTAGCTCTCCTTTCGTTGAATATGGCATTAATGGTTGAAGACACAGGTTAGCACCTGGCGGCCCAAGGGCCATATATGCCGCTCTAAGGAATTTTTAACTATCCTGTGGATACCACCAGAGATACTTTCATATTTTTGCTGAAGCACGACAAATCTTATGGTCCGCACTAGCCTCAAGAAAATAAGCGTTGTAAATACTGAACATGTAATTGTCTCTATGATCGCGAACAAACATATTTGACAAAATTTTAGCCAGAATAATTATGAAGAAAGATAATTATTAATATTTTATTGCTGACTGAAATATGTGTGTATATATGTATTAAGGGAGGGATACTGAACCTTAAATAGGATAGGTATTAATTAAAGTAATAGGGATCCATTTTAATTGCATTTACAATCTTCATGTAGATTATGAATCTATTTGTTACGAGGCATGTGCCCTTTGGAAGCGTAATGGTTTTTCCGAATTGCACAACATTACAACCCAGAATATATACCCTTCATAGACGAAGCTGTGAGAATCTCAGATCCACAACGTTCTAAACTTAATTAGAATGAATAAGCTACGCCATATTTATTCTTGAATCGGAACAGGCCATGAAAAATAAATATTTTGAGTTATTATGGCCACATGGTACAGTGTTATGTGGTAATGCAATATGTTTATTTATGATTTATTTGGTGATATAAGTATCTCTGATTTTGTAGCGTTAAATGATAGAATATTTAGTGAATAACGAACTGAAAACGATGTGGAAGAAAATAATAATTGCTTAATTAGAGATACTAACCCGGAATTTGAATGGAGGAACTGCGGAAACAACAAAATC